GTACCCCAAAAATACCGTATGAAACCCATCGGGTGGCGAATACAAGCGGTCGCCCTTCTGAGGTAACAACAACTCAACATTACTCGGCGCCCCAGATAAACGACGAACAGAGCGCAGATGCTCTTCCGTCAACACACTATCAAAATTAACTAAGTCCAAATTAATTGGCTTAATTTTCTTTTGCCTCCTCGTGTCAACTTCAACATCACACGGCGGGATATCATCTTCCTCCTCCTCTTCATCCGTCAGCTCAACTTCACTACTTGGCACCGCATGATCACTCGCCAAAGGAGCTTGATTCGAATCATCACTATCGCTCCCAAATTCCACGACTCGACGCCCATAGCGACGTCCACTGGAATTCGCTTCATCAACTGTAGGGCAAAAATTAATATTGTTACGCACTTCTACATCGTCACTCCACGATTCAATAATTTCTCGTCGACCAAAACCTCCCCTATTTAAAACAACACGCGAATCAGCACCCTCGGAAATTCGCCCGACAATTTCGCCCGAACCGGGATCAAAAGCGGCCTCAAACGCGCCCTCACGCGCGCGCGTGGCCCCAAAAGGGGCGGATCCACGCGCGCGCGCGTCATCTCCCTGCCCAGCGCCACGTGCCCCCTCCCGACTGGCCCACGCGCGCGCGTCCGCTTCACTCGACCCACCAGACGCGCGCGCGCGTCTCTGTACCGCCCGCCCACCTTCGCGCCCGCTGTCGCCACGTGGACCAATGGCGCGCGCGCGTCCACCTAACCCACCAACCGACGCGCGCGCGCCTCTTTCTCTATCCTCCGTCCACGCGCGCCCCTCCTCAGCAACACCTTTCTCTCTCCTCTCATTGGAAACGGTGCCAGACTCCACATCACCGGCTTGACTTGGCTCCACACCCTCCTTGAAGCGCGCGCCCTCACGCAAATTGAGAGGCTTGGCTCCGCGGCTCGAGCCGGCAGCCATATCAACCTTACCAACCACCATCTTTTTCGCCTCGATCCATGCACTGGATCCGGCTTCTACACCCGGTACGACTACCTTCGCGCTCCCGATACCCACAGTACCAAAAGATTTCTCGCTCCCTTCAACCGGATCTCGAAGTTTAATTCGCAAAGATTTCGAATTACCCGAGTTCGACATGTGGAGATTTTCTCCCCGAACAAATAATCAAGAAACAAAAAATTTCTACCCTACCGCAAATAAAAAAAATTTCAAGAGAAAAATAGCATAGGAAAAGACCTCGAGTTAAAAGTACGTACCCATATTTGTTACGCAAGAGTCGAAGTTAAATTCTTTCCACCGCAAAAAGAGATTATTTATCTGGCTCTGGTATAATATTTAAATCCTTTAAATATATACATCACTGCCAAATAAATACAGTTATCCCTTATTTAAATTAAGGAAATTAATTCACCGCCAACGGAAACAATTCAACCCACGACGCAACTAACTCTCGACACGACCCGGATCCCTCTACACAAGTCCCCATCTCGAATCGAGAGTTGGGGGGCTTAATGATATACCTAAATGGGCCGGCCCAATGGGCCCTCAAATTTATCTACTAATTAGGCCCACTACATGAGAGCCCAATCATATACGAGTGGGCCCATTACACGAAAGCCCAAGCTCCTTCAAAGTAAGGCTTGGGCCCAACAAAGGAAGCCCAACCCATTCAACAACATATAAATAGATGTTTTATTCATTTATTAAGGTACGTTCTGATTATTGACAAGCAACTACGAGTTTTACTCTCCCTACTATTTCTACGATCCGTACATCTGACTTGAGCGTCGGAGGGGTTTCCGCCGGATCAACCCCCGGCTTAGTTCACGTGTGCTCATTTTGCAGGGACCTCAGGAACATCGAGTTGACTAGCTACTGATCAGCTTTGCTCTCCCAGCTCGTTTTCTATACTATCCTAGGTGAGCTATACTTTAGCATCATCAGGGTTCTTGCTAATTATCCCTTCTATATATCGTATACAAAAGTAATATCTCTACAAAAGTTGAGAACCAAATAATGCATAAAGTTAAAAGGGGCTATCTTAGAAATAGCTAAATACATATTTAACATTAGTTGAAGTGGAAATTAGCAGCACCCGCTCTACTGTTAGAAGGAGCAGCTAAAACAAATATGAAATATCAATTCTTTTTCAGTTTATAGCATTTCAATAAAAAAAAAAAAAAATAGGAAATGACATTAATATCCTTAATAGAAATTAATAGCATATAAAAAAAAAAAAAAATCCTTTTTCTTTCTTTAATACTACACACATAACAAAACTCTCACAAACACCCTCAATCCTTCTCCAGAAATCACCAAAAAGATTCCAAATTCAATGAAATTAAAACCTCACAAAACTTATAAAATTGAGATACCATTAACAAGACAACAAAATGGTAATTTACATGGAAGAAGAACCCATTAATATATGTATTCATGTATTTTTTGAACTTGGAAGTGAATTTTCATGCTTTTTTTTTTCCTTAAAACACGTCGCCTATTTTCGACATGTCCATGTCGAAACATTGGACACTTAGCAATTTTTTTATTTTTGCAACAGTGATATCTCGACATCCACATGTCAAAATTTCTCAAAAATTTCGAAATGTATATGTCGAAAGGAGGCGGATATTTGCATGTTCAATTTTTTTCTTTGTTCAAACACACGTAGAAGGGTTCCTTAGTTCAAGACTATAAATTAACCTAGTTTTCTTATTTTAAACCAGAGAAGACGAGTATACCCTTATTCACAAATACCATCAAATTACAACTACAAACCCTATATTCCACTTTTATTTTGTTCAAGACCAAAGAAGATAAAAGAAAAAAAATCTTAGAATTGAAAGCGGGAAAGAAAAGAAAAAGTAGAAAACTGAGAACCACCACCGCACCTACGCTTCACCGATGCCGTCCAGCAACACTGCCGCACCACCACCGTGCCGGCGCCTGACCTGCGAGTAAGTTTTTGGATACTCTCAAAGCTTCTGTGTTGTTGGTAAATTCGTAAACGAGCATTGATTCCTTGATAAATACGCGTTGCAATGGTTTGGTCAAATTACGATTTAATATTGAGATTGAAATCGGAGCAGGGGAATCGGCGTGTATGGGCGGATTTTTTGAAAAGGTCGGTATATTAAGACCGATTTTTTTTTGAAAAAATCGGCAGGTTTATACTAATTATTTTTAACCGTTAAAACATACCTAATTGTGTTCTCCACCCTTATAAACCACCGTCTCCTTATTTTTCGACTCCTTTGTGAATTTTTGGTGTGTATTTGATTGTTTTGATGTGTAGTTGATGGGTTTGTGAAGAAAGAAAAGAAGAAGAGGAGGAGGAGGAGGAGGAGAAGGAGGAAGAAGGTTTCGGAAGAAGAAGGAAAGGTGTGTGAGGGTTTTGTGTGTATGGTATTAAAGAAAGAAAAATGACATTTTTAATATTTATGTAATATTGATTTTCATTAAAGGTATTAATGTCATTACCTATTTATTGAAATGTGATCCAAATTAATAACCAATTTTGTGTGGGCGATTAATTTGTAATTTAATCCCAAATTTTGACAAAATTTCACTGTAAACAATTGAAACCACTTCAAGGTTGGCAAAGAACATGCCGAGTACTAGTGAGAGAGAGGACTTGAAATATATATATATATATATATATATATATATATATATATATATATATATATATATATATATATATATATATATATATATATATATATATATATATATATATATATATGTATGTATGTATATTGTTTTTCTTTGGACTCATTACTCCGTCATTCTCCTCTTGATTGGCTCAGACGCCGTCTCACATTCCAAGGTATAATTGAGACGGCTGTCTCAAAATGCGTGCGTACCTGTCTTTCTCTTCTTCTCTAGCTCAAACGGCCGTGTAAGATTCTAGTGAGATATTGGGACGACCGTCCGAGGCCTTCCTTTGGTCTTCGGCAGGTATTTGCAATCTTTGCCTGTTTTGTCCTCATAGCACTCAATTTCTCATCTCTGCACAAAAAACACATGAACAAGTTATGAAGCACCTTAAGATCAAATAACATCTAAAAAAAATCACGTAAAATCATGTAATTCGAATGTAAAATCTACACTCAACAAATGTCATGTTGTTTTTTACCCTTAATGATGACAATAAAAAGAATTTATATTCCCAAACTCTTAACAAATTATTAAATTTGTAAGTAACTTATAAACTCAATTTTAAAACACCTCAAAAATTAATTTTCAAAATAAAAATTTAACAGCTTATCGTTTTCTAAAGAAACTTATTAGATGTAGGATGTTATAAGTTATTTAAAATAAGTTTTGCCAAAATGGACTCATCATAATCTAAGATACATATGTAAAAACTAAAAAGTACCCTTTTCTAGTAGATATATATTAATTGAGATCTAGCTTTGCTTTTTCTTTTTTTTTTCTTTTTTTTTTTTTTTGTTTTGGAAAAATATTAACTGATCTTTGTATACTCAAAAGATTCATGTCGGAGGAAAATAATAAAAGGCATATTTTTCTTCAGTCATATTTGTTTTTTGATACTTTGTTAGCTATTAAGAAATTAGAAAAACTAATCGAAAGGAATTAACTTGAGCAATGCAACATTGAATTTAAAAGTTGAAACCATGTATGTCTTTTTATCTTTTAGCTCAAAAGCAAATGAATATAATTAAAGAGACAATATAGTTTACAGAGGAAAGGAATATTGCAGAACATATATAACTAACATGCATGATAGTGTCTGAATGCTTGCTGTTCCACTAAATCCCTTTATTCCTGACAAAACACGTTAAAAATTCAAAATTGGTCCATTTTTTATTCCAAGAATAAATACAGGGCAAAGCATAAAAACATTTGATCGGTTGCTTCAGTTTACAGGAAGGCACATGTATAAGAATAATAAATATGATCCAAATATTGGGAGCTTTATATATAGGTGTTTGTGATTTGTTTCACTTGCATTAAACAAGATAGCAAGAAAAGAAACAAAAATGGAGGAAAAGCAATGGGTTGTGAAAATAAACAACGAGCTAAACAGCTTGGCAAACACTTCAGAAGAGTCGGCACATTGGAGTAAGCGATTCATCTACAAAATTCCAGCGTGCGTGACTGAGCTGAACAAGAGAGCATATAAGCCACAAATAGTGTCTATCGGACCGTACCATCATGGCATGGGAGATTTGAGGGCAATGGAAGAGCACAAGCACAGAGCTCTCCTTCATTTTCTCAAGAGATCAAACAAACCACTTAACACTTTTGTCGAAGCCTTGGCTCCAGTGTTGCAGGATCTCAAAGATGCGTATGATCAATTGGACCCCAAATGGCACCTCAAAGAAAATGACGATGAATTCTTGGAGATGATGATTTTGGACGGATGTTTCATATTGGAAATACTGCGCACCACTGACAGTGCCACTCACACTCATCACAGTACTCAAACTCATGATCAAACTACTTCTTCAAACGCAACTAATCATAGTGAAGATTATGCGAGCAACGATCCAATCTTCAGCACCCACGGCAAGCTTTACATTGTCCCGTATCTAAAGCGTGACATGTTGATGCTCGAGAATCAGATTCCTATGCTCGTTCTTGAAAAACTAGTTTTCGTTCAAAACGCGAACGTAGTCAAGGTAATAATAATACATCTCTCTTTAATTAAACCATGCATATTCTGTTACCCTTCATTGACTGTTCACTTTGTTGCTTTCATACAAGCTAGATAAAACAATTAAGTTGCCTACAATATTATATTAATATGCATGATATATGGGTGCGCATTTGGACCGGATGGCCGTCTTATTGAAGAAAATCGGATTCCACTAATTATCTAACACGTTTAGTATTTAAAGGAAACTAGATTATTTTACTTAGGGGTGGAAATTCGAATGAAATTTTCGAATCCCGCTAATTCTGAACAAAAAACAATCAAATTTGGATCCTTATTTTTCATTCTGATTTCCGAAGTTCTGATTTCCGATTCTTCCGAATTTATTTGGAACATAATTGGAATGGTATATAAAATTATCGCAAATACCGATTTCCGATCCGATTTTAGTTCTGAATATTTCTATGGTTTTTCAAAATATACAATATAATTATATGATATATTTTGTAATTCTATAATATAACTTACGTTATATTTATATGAAAAATATAAATATCGAAGGGTCAAGTAAATTAAAACCTTAGAAAAAATTAATTGGTATGATAAACTATATTTTACATTTTTTCTTATAAGAAAATATATGTTTCAATTTGTTGTTCCTACGTGTGTTTTTTTTTATTGCGTTTTGTCGAACTCACGTTTAGATGTTCATGCAAAAATTGATAAAAAATAGAAAAACATTGTGAAAATTTCAATTATATACGAATTTGGGACGAAAGATATAAACTAATGTAGTTTCCAAAATTCTGTCGATTCAAAGGCATTCTGGAATCGGAATGAATTTTCACATTTATATTTTTTTGGAACGGAAATTGAAACCCATTTTATACTTCTGAAAAAATTTAACTTTTTTCCTAAAAAATCATTTCTAATTCATTCAGATTTCTATCCCTAATTTTTTACTCTTTAAGTTCATTGCCCACCCTTAAAAATAGGAACTAATTTGCGGGTGGAGGATATAAATAATTTTGCCATTAGATAATTATTTTCTATGCCTTATATATTTCTCTTTTTGTATTTTTTTTTTCATTTTTTCTCAATCTTGAAATAAAGTTTTTTCTCACTTTATAATAGATTATAACTTGGTCCAAAATGCTATTTTTCATTTATCACATATATTATATGGGGATTTTGTGCATAAGTCTCCGATCAACTACCATTATTATTCTAGATTCAGGGGCTATATCTCTTTCGCCAATAAGTCTATACCTTTAATATGTATTGTAAATAAATGAAATATAAATGTATATGACAAAATTAACCCCAACCCTTTACACCTAGTTCTTAATTGTAACCCCAATTAAATTATTGATATTTTTTAAGCTTTTTTTTTTCATAAATTAATATTTTGCTGCCAGTTTCCGGTGTTGACTTTTTGATTTTTTTTTGTTCCGCCCCCGGTCTTTGGCGTTGACTTTTTTTTTACGCCCGCCGCTAAACGTTGACCATAATTGTGCTATCATTAACAGTAATTATAATGCCACTGACAATAAATTAACGTAATTATACAGTCGTTGATAGTACATTAACGTAATTATACTGTCGTTGATAGTATATTAACGTAATTGTACTGTCGTTGGCAGTACAATTAGAGTCAACGGCAATATTATTATTTTTTTGGTTATTTTTTTTTTATTTTGTTTGATTTGTTGACAAGTCAACGTTGTTATATTACTGCAGCTGACAGTAAAATAACTGTAAACTGAATAATATTACTGTCAACCACATCAATATTATTATTTTTCTGCGTTTTTTGTTTTGTTTGAGTTATTGACAGATTAACGTAATAATATTATTGTTTCTACTATGGTAATATTACTGTAAACACAATAATATTACTGTTGTTGACGGTAATATTACTGTTATAGTAATATTACTGTCACTCACAGTAATATTAATTATTTTGGCTTTTTATTATGTTTATCTTTGATGAACGATCGACATATTAATATTGCTTTATTACACAATAATAATGAGTTTTGTTGTGTTAATATTATTGTACTAGAGATTAATATAGCAATATTACTGTGTTAGACTGTAGTATAGTTAAATTTAAACTTAAATTTAAACTCAACTGTTGTTCTAATAGCAAGCTAATATAATGAAGCACTCTTTTAATTAAGTTACTGCATAAACAGTACTATTAACATGGTTGTTTTATAATAACGATATATAAATACATAAACACACAGAAAGGCAAAGAGTTGATGAAGCGCATTCTAAACTTCTTTTCACAAGCAATATCAGTGAAGAACATCCATGAAATCGAAAAGTGCTTCCACATACTAGACGTGTACCGAAAGAGCTTGCTATCGGAAGAGCCTCGTTCGAAAAAGCACACGAAAACAAAGAGCGGCCAAAACAGCATCATCCACAGAGGTGGAGGAGACGAGATAATCCGGTCAGCCACAGAGCTGAACGAGGCCGGAATTCGTATAAGGACAAGCAAAACAAGAAGCCTCAAAGACATATCGTTCCACGGAGGAGTACTGGAGCTCCCTCTAATAGTTGTGGACGATGCATTAGAGTCGTTGTACCTTAACTTGATAGCGTTCGAGCGGTTCCATGTAGGCGCTGGGAATGAGGTCACCTCTTACATATTCTTCATGGACAACATAATAGACAACTCGAGGGATGTGAGTTTGCTGCACTCGTGCGGGGTCATTCAGAATGCACTTGGAAGTGATAAGGCTGTTGCTAACTTATTCAACTCACTGTCGAAGGATATAACTCTCGACCCGGAGAGCAGATTGGATGATGTTCAGAAGAGGGTCAGTTCTTATTGCCAGAAGCCATGGCATCGGTGGAGAGCTAATCTCATGCACACCTACTTTACCAATCCATGGGCAATTCTCTCTGTCATTGCTGCTATTTTCCTCTTTGCACTCACCATTCTTCAAACGGTCTACAGTGTCTTATCATACGTGAGTCCAGCTTCTTGATCATTTATTAGTTATGCAATTGTTGTAATAAACAGGTCTACAGTGTGTTTAATTTTCTTCGGCTTGTGGGATGGGTTTGATGATTGAGTTCTTTTTCCTTTTTTCTTTTTTTTTTTTTTTTTTTTTTTTCTTTTTCCAGTCCGAGTGTTTCGTGTTTCGTACGACAGATGATTTATAATTGTTCTCCATTTTCATATGACAAAAATAAAAGGACCGTTTCAAAATTCACATTAACGTGAGAAGTTTCGATCCAGAAACCAAAGAATACCCGAGATCCAAAAATTGCCTCACCATCATTGGTTAAAAAGTTTACCAATCTTTTCGTACTTCCACATTTTACTCTTCGCCAGATTACCTCGTGTAGATGGTTTATTCATATGACTTTTGGAATTTGATGGGTTCCACGACATCCAAATAAAAAAGTTGATAAAGCTCCAATTTAAAAAATGTATATTTTGGTTAGCTCATAGAAGATTGATAAGTGTTCGTTTTTCGCAATTTTCACATGTTAAATCTTCAAGTTTTGGTCTTCATTCGTTCGAGTTTTCGGCTTTATTTGTATATATTATATTTCTTTTGTTTATTCCAGTTTTAGATAAGGAATGCTATTTTTGCCGATTCAAAGCCATTTGAAAGTAAAACCGGTTTTCAAGCCAAAAAAGTGGCCAAGAAGACCCAGATCGCGGTCCAACATCTCCATGCGCGATCTGGGGGTGTCACAGTACGTTTTTGCTCCGAACCCAGATCGCGATTCAACATCTCCGTATCGGGATTCGGGGGGGTGTACAATACGTTTTTGCTCCGGACACAGATCGCGATCCAACATTCCCGTATCATGATCTGGCAAGGCGCTGCGCAGTTTTCCGAGGTCGCCAAATCGCGATCCAACATCTCCGTATTTCGATCCAAAGAAAAAAGCAGGCCTCTTAGTGGAGAAAGAAGAGCGGCGGGGGTGGAGCGTCATCATTTGCAGCGGTAGAAGGGAGAGAAAGAGAAAAGGGGGAAAAAATAAAAGGGAAAAGAAGAAGCAGATCGATCGGGGCCTTTCATTCTGAATTCTTCTTCGATTTTTCTTCGATTTTCGGCAGTTCTTCGCGGGAAGCTTCGACTCGGGTTTTTCTTCAGCATTTTCTTTACGAATAGTTCATTTCTCGTGTACATTCTCTATGTTTGTTATGAACTAAGTACATTTTCTTCTAGGGTAATGAAACATGTATATATTGATTTCGATTTCGAGATATGTTATCTATTTGCCGTGTTTTGATTTCGTTTATGCTTTCCTGTTTTAAATGCTTCTGATTGATTGATCACCTCTCAGATTGATGTTAAATAGGAATGAACTCGACAGAGGATTTCTTGTTTGAAATTATGAAAACGTAGCTTGAATTGTGGAAACGGAGACGTGATACATCTCGGGTAGCCCTTAGGGATTTGAGCTAAATGATTTCTTAATAGCAAGGTCTGAACGGAGACGTCGGATATGTGGGTAGACTCTAACTACACTAGAAACGGGGGTTAGAGTATTTTAGCCTCTGGGTTAGCGAATAGGAATTTGACATTAAATAACGGATCTGTAGATAGTTTTTGATAGTACATTGGTGGATTTTGGCCCTAGAAGTCCTTTTTAAATCGAAAACCTCCCGTTGGAACTGTCACGATTACATTTACGTTTATTCTATATTTGCATGTTTACGAACTTTGTTTACTGTCAATTATTAGGGTTAATCACTATTTAGACCAATTACGATCGGCTAGATACTATAACAATAATAATTACATTATTCAACATGTGAATCTATAGGTCCACGTGGATCGATATCTAGAACCACTGTTCTACAAAATACGATACTGTACACTTGCGGTAATTTATACGTGAGAAAAACGCGTATCAAGTTTTTGGCTCCACCGCCGGGACCCTCATTTGATTCTATCTTTGCTGATATTGTTACCAATTATCTGATTATTACTTTAGCCATTTACCATCTTTATTTTCGATTTTTAATTTGATTTTGACCAATCACTTTGTTTATACCCAGAAGTCCAAATTTGGAAAATCATATCTTACGATTCCGAGATTGAAATGACATTTTGAAGAAGAAGAAGAGCCACGTGCAGCCAACATAGTGAATAATGGCCGACGATCAGGAAAATTCAGAACATCTGGCCTTTGAGTACGATCGAGAACCAGGGGAGAGCGCGAGCAACAAAGACCGAACCTGCCACTCGAGCGAACGATGAGAGAATGCCGAACTCCAGAACGAAAACTATTCGGGAATCAGGAAACCGACGATAGCCGCGAACAACTTCGAGCTAAAGACATGGCTTATCAACATCGTCATGGCGAACCTATTCTCCGGAGCAGCCACTGCGGATCCGAATCTCCATCTTGTCAATTTCTTGGAGATTTGTGACACAGTCAAGGTTAATGGTGTTTCCGATGATGCCATTCAGTTGAAGCTATTCTTATATGAAGAATAGAATAGGAGAAATAGAGAAATAATAATACGTAATAGAAACCCCCATTGTGTTATGGGTTGATTACATGGAATATATATAGAGAAATATTGCAAGGTAATAGAGTTTGACTAGGTAACTAAATCCTAACTAATCTAGGTAACCGAATCATACTAGAATCCTAGTATTAGGAGAGTTCTATAATATAATATTCTCTAACACGCCCCCGCAGTCGAAACGTGACGAACGTGAAGACTGGACAATCACTTGCTAACACGCTCCCGCAGTCGGAACGAATAAACTTCAAAAAGAATAAACTTCAAACGTGAAGACTGGAAACTTCAAACGTGAAGACTGGACAGAAACCGCGAAACACATCGCTAGAGAATTCCTCTGTGTGGAAATATGTGTCCAATTGATAAAAAAAAATAATAATAATAAACGGGTGAGAGAAAAATAAGCAACCTTCTTTTTTTTTTTTTTTTTTTTTTAATCGAGATAGAGAGAAGAGATGAGAGAGTGGGGAAGAAGATTGGGTAGTGTTCGCCGGCCATGGAGAAGAGAAGAGGCGGCGGCTAGGTTTTAGACCATGGAGAAGAAAAGAGGAAGAAGAAGAATGGAAAAAATAGAGAAGATACACCACCGGGGGAGGGAGAAAATTCGGGTGGTGTTCACAGAAAAGATAGAAAAAGAAAGATAGAGAGAAGAGTACCACCACCGGGGAGGAAGAAAATTGGTTTAGTGGTCGCCGACCATGGAGAAGAAGAGAAGCGGCGGATAGGTTTTAGGCCATGGAGATGAAGAAGAAGAAGAAGAAGAAGAAGAAGAAGAAGAAGAAGAAGAAGAAGAAGAAGAAGAAGAAGAAGAAGAAGAAGAAGAAGAAGAAGAAGAAGAAGAAGAAGAAGAAGAAGAAGAAGAAGAAGAAGAAGAAGAAAAGATAGAGAAGATGCACCACCGGGGGAGGGAGAAAATTCGGGTGGTGTTCATGGAAAAGATAGAAGAAGAAAGATATTAAGAGTACCACCACCGGGGGAGGGAGAAATTTGGGTGGTCACCACCATGGAGAAGAAAGGCGGCTAGGTTAAAAAACCTGGTGCCCTGATACCATATATGAAGAATAGAATAGGAGAAATAGAGAAATAATAATACGTAATAGAAACCCCCATTGTGTTATGGGTTGATTACATGGAATATATATAGAGAAATATTGCAAGGTAATAGAGTTTGACTAGGTAACTAAATCCTAACTAATCTAGGTAACCGAATCATACTAGAATCCTAGTATTAGGAGAGTTCTATAATATAATATTCTCTAACAATTCTCATTCTTTGTCTGAGACAAAATGAAGAGTTAGCTTCTAAGTTTAAATCCCGGATCACTTACTTGTAGGGAAGAATTATCACAAGCCTTCCTGGCACGATTCTTTCCACCCCGAAGATAGCACAACTATGAAAATATGTTGGCAACTTCAGACAGATGAGCCAAGAGCCGATGCACGAGGCATAGGAGATGTTCAAGGACTTATTACGACAATGCCCACATCACATATTCAACCGTGTCGCGGGATCAAATGGAGTTGTTCTACAATGGGCTCGATCAACCCGCGCGATCTTTAGTTGACACTTCTTTAGGTGGATCGCTGCAAAACAAGACCCCTAGAGATGCTCTAGACATTGTCAAGGAAAATGCCTACCATTGGCCGTCCGAACGAAGTGGTACACAAAGAGTAGTTGGAGTCCACCAACTCAGTCCATTGACTTCGTTATCAGCATAGTTGGCGACTCTTTCGAATCAGGTCGCTCAATTATCAGTTCGTGGGCCACAAACCGAACAAGTGGCAGCCACGAGTACCTCGTGAGTCACAAACGACGACCGGGAGCTGGCACAATTTATGAAAAACCGATTCAATAATTTATGGGGAAACCAAAATCAGAATCAGAACCCTACACAGTACTACCCGGGAATTCGGAATCACGAGAACTTCTCCTACGCCAATCCAAAGAATGCTTTGCAGCCACCTTCTTATTTTAACCATCAAAGAGAACAACGAGGGTCAAATTATGATAAACGTCTGCACCAACAAGAACATGAAATGGAGGGCCTAAAGTCAACAATAAAGAATATGAAAAAGCAACTAGGGCAAATCGCCCAATCTATGTCCACGGTGACAAATGGTGGATTTCCGAGCAACACCGAAGTCAATCCGAAAAAAAGTTGCCAAGCCATAACCACCCGAAGTGGTTTACAAATGACGGATCCTCCTTATCCGACAAACGAGTCAAAAATCCAGTCGAACAACCGAACCCGGTCGAGCCGGAATTCATTATTTCAGGGAGTAGTACAAAAGAGGCTAGTAAGCCCAATAATATTTTGTTTCCTGATAATCCTTCTCTTCTCATAAATCCTTTTTCTTTTCCATGGAGACTACAAAGCAAGAAGCTCAAGGAGCAGTTTATTAAGTTCAGGGAACAAATTCGAATCAATATCCCTTTTGCAGAAGCCTTGGAGGTGATGCCAAACTACAACAAGTTCATGAATGATATACTATCCAAGAAATTACGAATCGAATAATACACGCCAGTGACACTCACGGCAACTTGCAGTGCCATTCTCCGGGCGAATTTACCACGGAAAATGAAAGATCCATGGAGTTATACTATTCCTTGTATTATTGGAAATTCTACTTTCCATAAAGCTTTATGTGATTTGGGGGGAAGTATTAATTTGATACCTATGTCCGTGTTTCTAAAACAAGGCTTAGGAAATTTGAACCGCATGC